CGGGACCATGAACTCCCCCGCTCGCACTGCCCGCGGCTCTGCAGCCACTTCGCGAGTCCAGAGATGACTTTGAGCTGACTCGCCGAGGGACGCGACCCCAGCTTGCTATGGAGGATGAATTTTAAGATGAATATCTACTTTGGCGATACATCCAATACATCAATACCGGGATATTTCAAAGGCTCTGCACTAAATTATGGCAATTTTTCTGCAAACAACTCCAACGAGACAGGAAGCGACCTGAATTCACCTGCCCTGGACACCAGCAGGGCGATCATTGTGGGGCTGATCCTCGGTGCTTTTATTCTCTTTGCTATCATAGGCAATATCCTGGTCATTCTCTCAGTGGCTTGCAACAGACATTTAAGAATCCCCACGAACTATTTCATCGTTAACCTGGCCATAGCAGACCTGCTGCTGAGTTTCACTGTCCTGCCGTTCTCTGCCACGCTGGAAGTGCTTGGCTACTGGGTTTTGGGGAGGATATTCTGTGACATCTGGGCAGCAGTGGATGTGCTGTGCTGCACAGCCTCTATTCTGAGCCTGTGTGCCATTTCCATCGACAGATACATCGGGGTCCGGTACTCCCTGCAGTACCCCACGCTGGTCACCAGGAGAAGGGCGATTCTGGCTCTCCTGGCTGTCTGGGTCCTGTCCATGGTGATTTCCATCGGGCCCCTGCTGGGCTGGAAGGAGCCGGCCCCGCAGGACGACAGGGAGTGCCGCATCACCGAGGAGCCCTTCTATGCCCTCTTCTCCTCCCTGGGCTCCTTTTACATCCCCTTAATCGTCATCCTCGTCATGTACTGCCGGGTCTACATCGTGGCCAAGAGGACTACGAGGAACCTGGAAGCTGGGGTGATGAAGGAGATGTCCAACTCCAAGGAGCTGACCCTACGGATTCACTACAAGCACGTCCACGAGGACGCCTTGAACAACACCAAGTCCAAGGGCCACAACCCCAGGAACTCCTTAGCTTTCAAACTTTTAAAGTTCTCCCGAGAAAAGAAGGCGGCCAAGACGTTGGGAATCGTGGTTGGCATGTTCATCCTGTGCTGGCTCCCCTTCTTCATTGTCCTGCCCCTGGGTGAGTTGGGGATGCGAGGGCAGGGGTTGGGGTGGGTTGGCTGGATCCCACAGAAATATCTTGGAAAGGAGTCAGAGGGGCGAGGAGGAGATTCTGTTGGGAGAGCTGCAGTGAGCAGATGAAAGGAAGGGAATGAAAGGAAGGGAAATCCCAATGTGCAAAGAGTCAGGCTGGAACTTTGGGAAGTGTGCCCAAAGCTGCTCACCCGCAGTCCTCAGGGCCTGTGTCACCCCAGGGGACAATCTCTCCATGGTTCATATCCTAAATCCCCCTTTGTTCATTTGAATTGAATTAGGTGTCAGAAACATTACCAAAATGCTTTACTCCAAATCCTAGGTGAGACCAGAGAGCTGCAGCCCTGCAATGCTGGGGGTTCAGGTCACGTCTGCCCCAGGTTTGGGATATAACACAGTTGGATTTTGGCATTTTAAGGTTCCCTCACTGGAAATGAACGCAGTCAATTGTGAGGGGCAAAACCCCCATGAGCTTTGGGAAGCTGAAAAGTTCTAGTTGTGAGTTCAAACATTACTGATCAAATCCCAAAAGCAAAGGAGAACCCACAGATCCCAAGGAAGGTGCTCATTGGGGTCACTAGTTCTCATTTTGGACACTGCCATGGGAGCTTTTGGCAGCCACTTTGTTCCCTTTCAGCTTTAAAATACTGTTCAAGCATTGGCATAGCCTTAACACATTGCTCAGCGTGCCCAAAGCTGTGAAATGTTCTTGTGTTGTTTTTAATATTAGCACAGCCTCTGAAGGGGAGTATCTCAAGATATTCAATTACTGAGCTCTCAGAAATATCTGTCCAAAATTCATTTCTCTGTGACAATCTGGCAGTCTAATTATGGAAAGAGGTGGATAGAGAAAGGAGAGAAAAAGCCTTTATTAATGTTCTGTATTTGTGTTTACTTAGTTACCCAACCAAAACATTTCTGATTGAGTAGTAAGCGAATATTTATAGAGATTGTTGTAGAAAACTGAACAGAGTTCAGCAGCCTGGTCCTGGTGGAGTATTATAAAACTATAATCTCTGTGTATTATTAAGAATCTTTACTGCTTCAGCTACTGCAGGGCAACCTTGTCATCTCTAGCTTCTTATACTGAATTTTAAAATCTTTATAACTCAAAACTTGCATAAAGGTCACGTTGAGGATGTGAAAAATTCCAGACAGAAGGAAAACCATGAGTAAAGTTCTCTTTGGCTACTGAAGTTTAAGTCCTTGCGCTGGCTCTTAGAGTTTATAACATAAAACAAGCAAAAATACCCAGCTGTGGACAGAAATGTATTTCACCATATGAGATTAGTAGCAGTAGGTCATGATCCCCTGATAAAGCAGATGCCCTCCTTGATTTTGAGTTATTGAAGGAAAAAAGCAGCTGTGAGCACAGCAGCTCGAGCGGGTGGGTGGCAGGAGCCAGGACTGACCCCTCACCCAGCCCAGCAAAAACACAGACACAGGCCAGGAGCAAAGGGAGCCACGGAGCAGCTCCCACTTACTGACACTCCATAACTCAGCTGTCAGCTTCCCCTTTGAGCAGTGACTTCAGATCTCCTGGGCTCCACGGGAGGTTTAGTGAGAGGCTGTTAAACCACCTGAGGGAGAATTGATTGCTTGCCAGGACACGATTTTATCTATCTATCTATCTATCTATCTATCTATCTATCTATCTATCTATCTATCTCCTGTGTAACTGTGCCAAGGCAGCAGTGGGGGACAGGCTGGAGCCTCCAGCACTGCACCAGGGCTGGCTCAGGGGCTGGGGACAAAGGCAGTGCTGGGGACAAATCCAAAGTTGGGGACAAAGGCAGTGCTGGGAACAAACCCAAAGTTGGGGACAAACACAGGGCTGGGGACAAACCCAAAGTTGGGGACAAA